TGACCCCAACCTTCAACCGCCCTGCCCGCTGGGCCCCATACGGGCATTCACCCCGCCAGCCGGCCCTGACCCCAGCCCCCCATTCCATTCCCGGCAGCCCCTCCCACCCCCAACTGGGCCCCATCCTGGCACTTGCCCTGCCAGCCGGCCCTGACCTCCCCCTCCCCCCTCCCGCTGGGCCCCATACGGGCATTCACCCCACCAGCCGGCCCTGACCCCAGTCCCCCACTTCCTTCCCCCCAGCAGCCCCTCCCACCCCCCAGCTGGGCCCTGCCAGCCCCAAGGATACTGCTCTGGTTGAGGTCAGGCCGTACAGTGAATCCCTCCTCGTCCACATCTGGGCAGGTCTGCGGGGGAAGAATGCGGCAGGGAGGTGGGTCAGAGGCCACACTCCCCACCCTGCTCCCTCCATCACCCATTCAATCCCAGGAGCATCTACTGGGCCTGCTAGTGAGGGGGGCAGCAGGGGCTGCGGGTTGGGAGTGAGGGGCACCGGCAGAGCTGTTGGGGGGGCGGGGAGAGCCCAGGGCTGGGACAGCAGGGGTTGTGGGTCGGGAACGTGTGATTTCAGCGCTGCAGAACCCCTGGAGCAGGGGTCTCCTCCCTGCCCCCCACTCCCAAACTTGCCCCAGGTGGATGCCGCCCAGCCGCCCACTACCAAGAGCTGCTGGGCCCATGGGAGTCTGGCAGCACCATGGGCAGGTGCCAGCAAAGGAAGGAACCAGGCCAGATCCGCCCCCCACTTCCCCCAGCTGTCAGCTGGTCACCCAGGGCGGCTACTCACCAAGTCGGTGTCTGGGGACTCCCTGGGGGGAAGAGAGAGAGAGAATCAATTACCCTGGAACTGCCCGGAGCAGCCCAGCAAGGGCGGGGGGGGGGAGGAGGATGGATAAGGGGATTGGGGAGGGGGCCTCACACAGCGTCTCGCTCTCGGTCTCTCCGGCTCAGTCCGGGGATGCGGAAGGCTTTGCTGAGGCTTCTCTTGGGCCCTGCGGGGGACAGAGCGGGTGAGTGGCTCCTGGCACAGATCCAGCCCCTCTTCCCCCGGAGATGGCTCGCCCCCCGAGCCCCCCTAACCCTAACCCTGGCCCTGACCCAGGACGGCCAGGCCCCGGGTGCTCCCAGCTCCTCCCTGAGGGCATCACCTCTGCTGCCCGCCAGCCCAGAACCCTTCCCCAGGGATGAGCCCAACGTCCCGGCTCCCTGCCCCCGTGGCCGCCTCCCCCAAGGCGATGCCCCAGCACCCATGGGGCTGCCAGCTGCAGAGACGTACTTGCCTTCCTGCACTGGGGCTGTTCTGCACTCGTCGAAATCCAGCACACCTGCCAACAGAGAGCAGGGCAGGGGTCAGCCCGGCAGAGACACGCGCCCCTCCCCTGTGCCCGGGGGAGCACGCCCTGTCCCAGGCCCCGTGCAAAGCGTGCAAGAGGAAGCCCCGCCCCTCCATGTGCAACAGTGCAAGCCCCGCCCCTCAGCCCCATGCAAGAGCAAGCTCCCCCGTGTGCCCCTCACCCGGCCTCTCGCGCCCGGTGCCCTTGCTCTCGGCGAATCTCTGCAGCAGCGTCTCAATGCCGATGTTCTCCACGTTCTGCTTGAATTCCTCGTGCACCTGGGGGGGGGGGGGAGCTGAGGC